TGCGTCTTTGTGCAGCTCGGCAGCTTTCAGTGTCAGCAGCTTCAGGTTGGGCCTCTTCCCTCAGTGTAAATAAATGTTTCAGGAGGCTCCACCTCATGATCCTTGTTTAAGTTTCTCAGCTGAAGCTGTTTGACAGCTCGTGTTGCTGTGAAATTTTTATAGAGGTCACAAAGAGAGAACAAATACAGAACATTTTGCTCAAGCATATTCGTCATTATCCACAAAGTACATCATGTTTTTGGAGGGACAGACTCTTCTGCATGTCCTATAATAGTCAGACCTAGTTTGACCTCCCTGGTTTGAACAGAAAATCCAGCTGTTCATCCCACAGCAGGCACGACTGCGATCCTGACTCAGCAATGTGTTTGATCTGAAGAGATATTCATCTTTTTAGCATGTATTACTTCCTTGACTGTGAAACAACTTTTCTTTTGAGTTATATAAGATGTATGTAATTGCACCAGTGTTCTTCTAAAAGGTTTTGGTTAAAGAAAGAAAATCAGATTGAAACGACATGAACTAAACTGGATCTAAATGTTTCAGTTATTTAGGATTAGAGGGAGGCATGGAGACATTAAAAGGTGATAGAAATATATGCTGGTGTAAACGCAAACTATCACATATATCAATATTTGCCCCAAAATGAAGATATTTTAACTCCAAAACATTGTGGCGCATAAGTAAAGCGCTGAATGGAAATATCTAAAGGTGGCGTTAGAAATAGATAAACATACTTAGTATAGTATCCACATTTATTGATGCATTTATTATATGCTAAGCCCTGCTGTCTGATATTTGAGGATATTGACAGCTCTTGTAAAGAGTTTGAAGGTTACAGTGAAGCAGCAGTTGCTTAAAGCTTCTCTAGAAGCTACTCTGGCTTTCAGTCTCCACATGCAGTGTTCACTAATCACGGAAATTTCCAAGGTGTGAATGTGTGTGACTGTAAGAATGTAAAGGAGGCGGCTGTAGAAAAAAAGAACGTGTGCTCATTCAATTTCCTCTGGATAAATAAAGGTTAATGACCAGAAAGTAGAGTAAATCATGATTTATTGGCAGACTCAAAGCCCAGAAAACTGGTTTCACAGGATTAACTTATTTTGAAAATGGAGGCCCTGAGGCACAAATTATTTAGAGAAGTGTAAACTTTCACCCTGCAGCCAACTTTCTCTGTTACTTGGATACCAGTCTCTCATGTCTTTTATAAAAACACAAGCGACAGTTGTGAAATTGGTTACGTAATTCACATGTTTTCTTTAATGGTCAGCCAGCCACATTCATGAGATTTTGTTCTCTTGCAAACATATTGTCCTAACCTGAATATACTGCACCTGTGGGTATTTCTATGCACAAAAAATGTCCTCGTGTATTTCTTTAAATCCAGGAACTAAAATTTACAGCACTTATTTTCCTTCTTAAACTCATAAAATCTCGTATGATTTATATACAAATGTAATAAAACGCGAGGTCAGGATTGCAAATCAGTTCTCGGACGTACCTGGAAGAACGTGATGCTAATTCCATATGTCTCGGAGATCCTGTTATCGGTAGTGTTAGTAACTCTGTGCTCAAAATAGATGACCAGACAAAGTGTAGATGTAGAAAAGGGCGGTTCAGCATGGTGACTAGAATAGTTCCTCCTAAATGTTACACACTGGACCTTTAAAATTCTTCATTAAAACATTTGAAAATGGGGCTTTTATTTGTTTTATTTATTTAAAAAAATGTCTCTCAGTAAATGAATTAGTTCAGGTTTATGTGGCATTATTTGGTCGTTTTGCTGTTTTTAGCCACCTGGGGGCGGCAGAACATATGATATGAACACCACACTGACATATTATCACATATTATTATAATATCGTTTGTCACTACGAGCGACACTTGTCTCATTACGCTTCCATTGTTAGCATACAAATATTTATTAGTTAGAGTTAGCGCTGGACTGACAATCATTTTCCATTTTCACAAGTTCTCACACTTAAACATTTGGTCTTAAAGGTGGGGTCAGTCATTCTGGAGAAACATAGATGATTGTTGAGTCTCATTCCCAGCTCCTCAAATACCGAAGCTTTGCGTTATGGTAACAAAGTAGGTACAAAGTAGCTTAGAGCGAGCCACTCAACACAACAGGTGTCATTCTTACTCCCAGGTCATCGAACACCTCCACCAATGAGATGCTGTATATAAAGCATGCTTCAGATTCCTCTGTATAAATAAACTTTATTGGCCTGCACTGATGCATGTTCAGCTACAGGATTCAGTGTTAGCGCACGAGGCTGCCGATCCACTCTGACGCCTCTGTAACACAGTGCAGGATTATTTAGGAAGGATAGGATTAGGAAAGTGAATTTTGTCTGTGTATCCACATCTCTAATTTCAATGAGGATCTTTTTTCCCATGTTTCAGTTGAACCAAAAAGCACAAAAACATTTGTAATTCAAGAACCAAAGTGCTTATTGTTGAGACAAGTACACATTTGCTTGTCCTGAAAGGCCACAGCTGTGTTTAGCTAACCTCAGCAAGTGAGTCTTTAAAAGACACCACATGAGATGCGCCTGCTATTTTATACAGTTTGCATGCTCAGTTGAGGCTTTGTGGGACACTTTTCTTAGTTTTACTGTCTGACTCTTCTTCTGGATTAGGACCAAGTGGTTTGTGAACAGACACTGCTAAAAAAAAATCCTCCTTTTTCTATATTTGCTGCTGGATTTCACTGCGGCAGCAAATATATGCTTCACATATATTATGTTATGTTTGATGCTTAAATAGAGCAGTTAGATTATGAAAAGAGATGCGATTATTTAACAGGTGTATTTGATTGTTGGGAATAGGTTTTATTTGCATCTGAAATCCCACAGTTTGCCCTCAAAACTCTCATATTGGTTTTAGCTCTCAAATCTAACAGGTAAGTTGCAATTATGATTTAAAAAAAAAAAAAATAATACATTTCTGCCACACATGTATCATTAATCGTGTTCAAGCTGTTGACACACAGACACATTGCTGCCTCTCTAATTAAGATCCAACCACAGTTCCCATGACTGGACTGCTATGACTCTAGTGGGGGGAACTCCAGCGATTTACGGGAAGAATCATAAAACTGTAAACCAGACTATACCAGGAAACTATGGGCATGAACCTACACTTAGTGACTCCTTCGTCAGCTAATATAACTGCAGAAGTGAACTTACTCATCATCTTAGCTGAGTCGGTTTCTGGCTCGTAAAATTACAATCCACATGAAATCCCATTGAATCTTTCCGATGACTAATTACACATGGCAGGGATCCTGTTGTAAATTAGGTCATCAATATCTGGCAGATGGCAGAGAACTGTGGAAATCAAGTCAACTCCAATAAACACTCAAGGACTATTGCACAGTGGAGCTACTGTATATGTGACAGGGGTGGGGGAACTTCTGTTTGACCCACCATTTTCCAGCCTCCCTATCCTGCATCACTAGCTAGCCGAGAGATGTGGTCCATTACTCTTCCTCTGTTAACAAGCATCTGGACCAGGTTCCAGGCAATCGGCGGCCACACAACGCCTGGCTGTTTGCTGCAAGGGTGGCCTTAATGCCTGCAGTAATGAATCAGCCCCGACTGTTACAGCAGCTTAAAGGAAACCAAATATACACTATACTCACAACTGTTTGATTGAAGCCTGCTGACAAGGGGGTCGGGCACGCTGTTTGTTTTGGTTTTACTTCATCTGGGACCTTCTCTGCTGGTCCACCTTGGTCCATTTGTTGTGAATGATTGAACGCAGAGATGCCCGGTGGCTGGAAATGAGGGAATAACATTCAGAGTGTGACACATTTTGGGTTTTGCCCTTTCGAATGGCATGGCAAGTTGTCACACGAGCTGAGTCATAGTGTTGCAACATCATAATAGAAAAGAAATCTTGTGTGACTCCTTCGATATCAGTTCCAAAAAGTGGTGGAAAGTAGATTTACCCAAGTACTGTACTTACATGGGAGTGATTTTACACATCAGAGTCTGTTTGCAGGTCTTGCAGAGGACTACTGCATGTGAAAAAAAAGTTGCATAAATCCTTTTGTGGTCTGATAAGTCTGATAAATGGCCTCAAGGTCGGGCATTGTGGGTAATGCATGCAGCATGTTTTGACCAGGAAGAAGAATGTATGGAATAGAAAAAGTTAATATTTCTGGTTCTGATCTTTTTTTTTTTTAAACCATTGTGGTAAAACAATGCGGTGTAAAGAAATTTCCACTGCTATTAATCATCCTACAACCCCTCTAAACTTAATGGAGCGAAGCCTGCGAGCTAGTTCAGGCAGGTCAACTCGAGCTGCGCTGATTACACACATGACATGCCTTATTCCATAATCACTAACCAAGCGCTCCCTTCCAATCTGGCGGTCTATTTAAACTGCACA